ATGCATATTCTCCACCATATTATTTCACATAATTATTGCAGCATTCTTAGTATGTACATTCTCATTTAATTTGTCCCAACAATTTTCACAAAATCAGTAAAATATTAATAAAATATTAATAAATTTGTCCTGCAAAAGAACTATTCTATAATTTCTTTGTTAATTTTGGAGCAAATTGTCGTATACAAGGAAATTTGTTGTTAAGATGCAGTTCAAACATGCTTTATGAATGTGGTACGGTTTTAATATAGTTGAATAGTCACAACTTAGATGAACGATAACACTTTACCAGCATTAGATTAAATAGTCAAATCTTTTAGATGAATGGTTTACGAGCATAAGATTAAATAGTAACAACTTTTAGTTTACCAGAGTAAATAATACATTATTACAATTACTTTTTAATGAAGTTCTTGTGAAAGGCATTCACTGACCTAGTAAGAAAAAATAAAGTCAAACAGAGTGATCTTTGGTAAAAAAAAACAACATCATGCAATGTACTAGTATGCATGGAAAGATATTCAAACCTAATTTTAATGCAAGTCAAAACCACCAGATAAGCTCAGTAATTTAAACACAATTATAATCATATTTAACATTGATTAAAATATGATTAATTAGATAACAATTATGAGAAAATAATTAAGCTGAGTATCAAATTACCAACAACTAGAAATTTAATACAACCATGACATTTATTGCTTATCCATAGCTGGTAACACTGATTCAACAACAAAAATATGCCTAAAGCAAATTTTGGTTTCCACCAACATATGCTTTGGTTTACATAGAGAATTGAACATTTCAGAATTTAGGATGTTTTAGCTCATTCAAAATTCACATAAACATTGCAATAAAAATCAAAAAAAGCTTAGACACATTAACTGCAGACTCTCCATTGCCTGCTTTGCACAGGGAGTTAACAAAAAAAAAATTGCAGTTTTTTGATTATTTTTCTTTCTTTTTTCCTTTCTTTCCATTAGATTTCAAGTATAAGTTTAAGTTTAAGGATCAAGTATTTTTATATTTAAAATTTGTTAAAATTAAAACACAAACATTAAATTTGAAAATAAAAATTCAAATTTATTTTGTATTATCAAGTTGTTTTTGTTGGAAAACTGAGATAGTACAACTTCTAAATAAAATAAAAAGAATTGTGAATAAAAACGATTCATATTAATGATGAATCTATGTATGTGTAAGAATACTGAGGTATATTTTATTATAGTTAATGCCCCATCCATGGTTTTTTAAGTCTACCTATTACTAAGGATGAATACCACCTCTCTGTGTGTAGTGGACTGAAATAAAATACGAGAAACCTATTTCTAGTTGGCAAACGAGCTTAAGTCAACGCCGTAAACAAAGACCCCATTAACGACACTGTCCCGTAATGTACGCGTCACTTTTCATTCTGTATGCTGACAGTCCCACTTAAAAGCCTGTGAGCAAAGACACCCAAAGAATGATGACATCAAACAGCTCACAGGCGCAGTTTTCTCTTAATTTTATTGGATGTAATTTTCCTTTCCATTATTCTACTGATGTTTCATTTCGTCTAGGTTGTCGTCAGCGAAGGTTATTAGCCTGTCTTTTATAATAAAAACACGGCAATACTAATGACCAAGACACCTGCATAAGCATTGATTCCCTCCCATCAGCCGATTATATTATCTACATCATCTCAAAAAGACCATTATAAAAAGAAAATGATTTGAAATGTTACTTTGTGTCTTTAGAAATTTTTTAAAAAGAGCGTTTTGACCTACTGAAAAAGTATTAGAATATTATCAGCTCTCAACCAGACCA